GAAAACAAAGACCAGTGAGCTGTCATTACTACAGTCCAGGCAAGTGAAGACAGAGCCTAGATCCTGAGCAATGGCTGTGGACCTGAGGAGACATGGCTCTAGTATAAAGTGCACATGGTTTTTAAAGGCAGCATGAAACATGAGGACATAAAGCATATCATTAATAATTCTTACATTGATTATGTATCAGCACAATTATATTTATATCTACTGGGTTCAATAAAATAGATGATGAAAAATAATTGTAATGGATCATTTTATACTCCCTAATGTTCTTAGAAACTTGTAAATGACAGTAGTGATTTCTATCCTGTTTCTACTGGGAAAGGACAAGCTACAGGTGTTCCTGTGCCAGAAACATGGACGTAAGATTTCAGAGGCTGTATGGTTAACACCATTCACTGGTGAGTGTGGCTACCGGAAAGCATGTCAGGAGTGGTGTGTAGATCGTGAGTGGGTGGGAAGGCCAATGAGTGCAGGTGCCAATGAGATGGATGAGTTATGCACAGGAAAGTGAAAGCACTAGACACGACGGGGATAGTTAGAGTGGGATCGTGACCAGGTGGTCTGGAGTGTTCCGTGGTCAGAGGGGTGGGAGCTGGTTCCTTTGAAGAGACACAGCTGGCACTGTTCCTTTCCTGTCCAATGAGGCCACACACAACTGAGCACTTGGGATGCAGCTATCTGAACTGAGATGCCCCAGAGGGAGGCTCTCACTTGAAAAGTTCAGAAGGTTATTTAAAATGAAAGAGAGGTGAGAGTTTTAAAAGCAAATGGGGAGCCATGGGGGGATGCATGAGGTGGGAGCAAAAAAAGTACCTTACACTGAGAAAGTCTAACCAGGAGGCTAGAGGCCCACTGGCTAAGGAGGGCCATTATAAATGAAAGAATATGCTTAGAAACAGAACTGAGTTTAAGTGGTGGTGGTCGTGGTGGTGGTCGTGGTGGTGGTGGTGAGTTCTGGAATGGGATTTCCAGACAGCACTGAGCGAATGATGGAAAGCAGATGTGGGAGAGACAGAAGGCACGGGGCAGTTAGGGGTGTGCACCTGGGCTGGCAAAGACTGCCTCCTGACATCAGCAGTGAGATCACCTGTGTGTGTTCTAGGAGGCCAGGCCCTAGAAGCCAGGAGCCTGTAACAGGTATCACCTCTTGATCTCAGAGTGACAGTGTGGAGGGAGGAGACATACAGTCTTTGCCGCTCTCGCTGATTCCGAGAGATACTGTAAAGTTAACTGTCGTTAATATTTTTAAAGGGTGGTTACATAATGAGAAGTACTTGGGAAGTAATTAGAACTTGCTGCTGTTGTGAAGATGGGAGAGCTTTTCTTAAATAGGTCAGGCAGGAGAAAGATTGCATATGATGGGTGAGGATGCCTATGGATATGCCAGGAAAATGCTGCTGATAGAGCCCTCAGGAAAGCTTCCGCAAGACAGTTTGCTCACATGGAGATCTGCTTCCTTTGTGATATGGTTTTAATGATGTATGTAGATGAGTTAATGCATCCAAGAGAATTTGGAGGGATCTGTACTAGTTAAGTAGTTAATGAAGCCACCAACGAGAATGACACAGGCTGTGTACTACAGACACTCCTGATCTTCCTGCTGCCACCCCCCCAAGTTCTGGGATTACAGGTGTGTACCACCATGCCTGGTTTATATGGTACTAGAGATTGGACACAGGACATTATGCATGCTAGGCAAGCACTCTTCAACCTGAGTCACATGCCCAGCCCATCATTGCATGGTTCTATGATTTTATCCTTTCTATTATGTGCACATATTACTTTTATAGGCAGAAATATACATAGTATATAATTTGAAGTTATGCATTTCCCAAACAGGAAAAATATATGTATAATATTTGAAGCTACATATAAATCCTTTAAAACTCCACATAAAAGGGTCTGAGTTTTGAAATATAAGAGTTGGCAAGCTCTCTGTAAAGCCTAGTGTATCAGTCAGGGTTCTCTAGAGGAACAAAACCAATAGAATATACACAATTACAGAAGGGGATTTATTGCATTGCTTCCCTAGGCAGAGGCTGGATAGTCCCACAGTGGCCCTCTGCAGGCTGGAGAGCCAGGAAAGCCAGGAGCTGCCCAGACTAAGAAGCTGGAAGCTTCAAAACTACAGAGACCAAAGGTACAACTCAGTGCAACAGAAACTGCACAGCTGAAGACCTGGAGAGGAATTGTTAGTATAGCTGAAGACACTGGAGTCTGATTCTGCAGCTGGTGCCTCAGCAAGGACACCTGCTCAAAAACAAGCTTGTGTGTCCCAGAGAGCTTCCTGCTTCCATCTTATGATCTACCCAGACTTCCCAGCTTACTGAATGGAACCAGCCATCTCTGGAGACAGTCTCACAGACACCAGAAAGTGTGCTTAACCCATTTCCTGGGCTTTTCTCATTACATTCAAGCTGACAGCTAGAAGGAATGAACAATCAGTCCAGCTAGTAAATATTTGAGGCTTTACTGACTACACAGTCTGTTCTGCAACTACTCAACTCTACCCTTGAAATGGAAGTAACCATGGACAGAGCATGAATTCATGAGCATGGCTGCAAGCTGATTAAAGTTCAATAGTTTTTCAAAAAGAGGCATGTGATGGATTGAAAGGAAATGGCCCCCAAAGGGAGTGTCACTATTAGGAGGAAGTGTGTCGCTGTGGGGGTGAACTTTGAGGTCTCTTTTGCTCAAGCTTCCTACAGTGTGGCAATCAGTTGACTTCCTGTTGCCTGCAAGAGGTAGCACTTTCAGCTATTCCTCCAGCACCATGTCTGCCTGCATGCCGCTATGTTCCCTACCATGATGATAATGGATTGAACCTCTGAACTATAAGCAAGCCACCCTAATTAACTGCTTTTTATACTATTTGCCATGGTCATGGTGTCTCTTCACAGCAATAGAAAGCCCTAAGACAAGGCAGCAAGCTCAAGTTTAGCCAACCAGCTGTTATTTCTCAAACTCCCAAGTAGTGAACACACAACATGAAATAGTAGCCACATAAAGAGAAATAGAAACAAAATAATGGGTGTTCTCTCATCTGCTCAGAGTACTTTTATAACACCCCAGATGCGGGTTGCTATAAGCTACAATTTTAGAGAGCACGGAGATTAAAAGGCAATGTGAAGGGGTTGGAGAGATGGTTCAGCTGTTAAAAGCACTGACTGTCTTTGTAGGGGACCCGAGTTCAGTTCTCAGGACCCATTTGGAGGCTCACAATAGCCTGTAGCTTCAGTTCCAGAAGATTAAACACTTTTCTTCTGACCTCTGTGGACCCATCAAGCATATACATGGTGAATATGCATATGTGTAGGAAAACACTCATATACACAACAACAAATAATAGGTTAAAATTTGGGATCAATGGAACAGTGACAGATGCTACCACGTACATTATCCATAAGATTAGCTTTGGAGCTCCCCCAAGACCAAAGTAAGACGGAAACAAGATTCTTCAAACCTCCCATTAGCACATGAGAATAAAAGACAGTCTAATGCCCATCACCTTTAATACAACCCTGGAGGCTACATCAAGGGTTGGGACTACCTACCTGACTCCTAACACAATTCTCAATAGATATGATTGGGTGAACAAATAATTTATCCTCCAGGGTTTTTCAAGGAATTTGAGAGCTGGAGATCCAATCCAGAGCATTGTGCATGGCACATATGTGCTCCACACTCTCAGCTCTTCTTTTTTTCAGTATTTATTTGTTTTTCTGTTTTTCTTTTTTATTCCTCTCTCATGCAATACATCCCAAATGCAACCTTCCCTCCCTCCACTCTTTCCAGTTTCCCCCACATGCCTCTCCTTTCCCCTAGATCCACTACTCTTCTTATTTCTCTTCAAAAAAGAAAGGCCTCCAGGGATATCAACTGAACATGGCATAACAAAATGCAATAAGACTAGGCACAAATCCTCATATAAGAAGGGACTAGGCAACCCAGTAGGAGGCAGAGTTCCAAGAGCAGGCAAGAGAATCAGAGACAGCACTCCCCCAACTCCCACTGATAGGAGTCCTGCAAAAATTCCAAGGTAAATAACCACTATATGTATGAAGAGGATATAGCACAGACTCATGCCACGTCAGTCTCTTGATCTTCTCATCTCTTAAATTCACACCCTTCCAGCATCCTTGAACATTTGGACACAGTGAGGGTCTTTTCCCAAATCTAGAACCAAAAAAATTAAATAAAACACCTTTTCTTTCTCCCCAAGGAAAGAAGTTTACACATTCTAAGATAAAAGGTTCATAAATGTGTCAAGAAGAATTGTAAGATCTCAAGATCCTCTTCTCAGAGCCTAAGACCATAAAGAAGGTGAGACACCATTTCTGTGAGGGTATTCCTTACACAGTTAAAGAGATCTTTGTCACTGTTTCTGTCTGTCACCTTTTCTATCAACTGACTTTGAAGCAATCAAAAGTAAGGCTTTCTGGGAGCCTGATATAATCACACGACATATCACATGAAGAACTGAGTGTTTTCTCTAGCTCCCTTCAGAAAGGTAAGTCACAGCTTCAAAGAATAAGAAAGATCGAAGATATCACCAATAGTTTTGTATATTCAGAGAATGACAACCTGGAGGTGACAAGGCCCTTGCTGACAGGCAGTGAGATAACTGGGAGCTCATTCCTACACACAAGCAACTCCCAACAACAGAGTGAGCTTAGATATGATTTTTTTCCTCTTAACACCTCTATAGATATGAGCCCACAGTAAGTAACCCTACAAGGCCCTCAGCAGGGAATTTAGTTGTTTCCACCCCAAATTCCAATTTGCCAAACTGCAAGGTCATAACTGGGTATTTTCATAACTTGTCCCACAGCAACAGAAGTTACCGCCATCAAACCCCATCTAATATGCAGGAAGACACAGGATGCCCAAAAAAGTGAAAACTGCCCACATTGGAGCACAATGACCACACCTCATAATGCAGGGCATGCCTGTACCAGACCTGATGTCCACTTGTAAACTCACATCCCTGAAGTTGGTCTCCTTCCTTTTTAAGCCCCCTCTACATGAGACAAACTGAGATCCCATCTGTAGCTGTGCCTGGCAGAAGACTTAGAAGAAAGGACATAGACAGACGGAGGCTAAGAAATGAGCCACTGGAGTCTCTACTAAGCCAGATAGGAACCTGGGCCCCAGCAGTGATGCCAGCACTCTCTAAATTCCCAGGTACTTTGCAGTACTTAGCACACCACAGGGCAATTATGTAGACTAAATGTCCCTGGGCCGCACAAGCCTCATGGCACAAATGAGGTCACATCAGCATTTATATCCATAATTAGCTTTCTCAGATCCCTTCTTATTGAATGAGTTAGTTTAGGTCACAGGATAGATTGCTGGAACAGTGAAACCCAAATACACAGTAGTTCAGTAGAATAGGAATTCATTTTTCTTTCATATAACATCACAGGGAGGGATGCCAGTCCTTGGCAGGGAGGCAACTCCTCTCCATAGGGTCTCTCAGGATTTCAGGTTTCTATTATCTTGTTCCACTTTCCTGTGTGGTACTGTTTTCACCCATATCGGGGCTCACATCCTACCACCACCAAGCCCACTAAAGGAAGTAGAAAACAATGCTTGCTCTGAAATAAGTGGCCTGTCACTTCTGCTCACATTCCATTGGTAAAACTATAGCCACACTAACTTCAAGGGAGGCTGGGAAATATAGTTGCCTCTGGTAGTCTACATAGTCCTTGTTTTAGTTTAGGTATAAGGTGGCCCTCAAAGGGGCCCATCTGTGTATTGAAGGCTTGACTTCCCAACTTGTGCCATGAAGAAGTACTGGAGAATTTTAAAGGTGAGACCTAGCCAGAAGAAGTAGGCCACTACAGTTTGTTTCCTTTGGGGTCCCTTCTCAATCTATATCCTGATCATGGTGTTATGTCCTCTTGCCATGATGGACATAAATGCCTCAAACTAAAATACATTCTTTGTCCTTTTTATGCCATGTGTTCTGGTCTCTTTTATGAAAACCTGACTAACACAGTCCTATTACTCAGAAAGAGGAAAGAGCAGATTTTAGAGAAATGAGAAGACAGTGTCATATATAGCACCAGTACAAGGTTTGTTGGGAGTCTCTGAAAGATGTTCCATGTGTGTTTGCACAACTCCAGGGTAGCTTGGACCCAGCCCAGGAGTGTCTGCTGTATTACTGCTCTGGGGAACTATGCAAGTTAGAAGATGTTTCCTAGGCTCCAGGTATGTGACCATCTTCATTTGTGAGACTTCAAATGGAATCAGAGGCAAGGATTGGGCACAAGTAAATTATCTGAGAGGGGATTTCAAGAAGGAGGAATTAGAAAGAGAGTGAGAAAGAAAAGAAGAAAAGCCAATGAATCTTGTATGATCAACATTAGTTTGTTTTCTGTTACTGTAATGAAATACCTGAGACTACAAAATCAGTAGAGAATAGATTTATTGAGCTCTTAATCTAAAAGGCTAAGTAGTCCAAGAGTGCGGTGCTGGCATCTGCTTGGCATATGGCAAGAGTCTGATTCTTGCATCCTAAGATGCTGAGACGGAGCAACTGAATTAGCTTGAGTCTTGTGATGCTTCGTGTTGTTCATTGTCACCTTGACACAAATCTAGAATCAACTGGGAGCTGGGTTTCTGGGCATACCTGTGGGGTCTATCCTGATTGTGCTAAATGAAGTGGGGAGACCAGCCCACTGTTGGCACCACATCCTAGGCTGGGATTCTTAGACCGTATAAGGAAGGGAAAAGGTACTGAACACCTGTGTGCATGCAAGTGTTGCTCTGTTCTTCTGACCTCAGATGTAATGTGATCAATTGCTTCAAGCCCCTGTTGCCTTGAATTCCCCAACAGGATGAGTTGTGTCTTGAACTGTGAACTAATAATAAACCATTCTCTCTTGGGTTGTTCTGCTCTGCATATTTTATCACAAGAAAAGAAACTAAGACAGGTCTTCTTTACTCTTTTCATGAAGCCACTGCTGTCATGGATGGAGAAGCCCCAGCCCCGAAACTTTCTATAGTCCTGACCTCTCAAAGTCTTAACACCATGAACACAAACACTGGAGAATGCCCAACTTGTGGACTTTTAAGAGACACATTCAAACCACAGCATGACAGATAGCCAGTTTGGGCAAAAAGGACAACTACTCAGAGACACTTTTTGTCCTTCTGGAAAACAAAAGACTGAGAAATTTACCACCACTGCCTGGGCAATCTGCCTGCTTCTTGCCCAAGAGTGAAGATAGAAAGGCAGAGAGACAAGGCAGGCACTTGAGGTGGAATGCTGTCAGCTGGCATAAGGACAGCCCACACTTGCTATTAAAACCTGGCAAGAGCCAAGGGGATGCAGCATGAAACATAAAAAGTAACATCGAGAATCATGCATAGAACAAAAATGATAGAATGTGTGTTCCTCACATTCACACCCAGTCTATGGGCTGGACTGAGAATAAATCATCTTTTCTCTCATCCTTGAACTGAATCCTTCAGGTAAGGTGGCTCAGTGGGTAAGGGTGCTTGCCACAAAGTCTGATAACCTGAGTTCACATATAGAAGGAGAGAAGCAATTTCCAAACGTTGCCTTCTGAACTCCACATTCACAGTGTTGTAGTGCATGCACACATCCACACACACCTACATAAATAAATAAATGTGTGTATGGGGGGGATTGCCTCCCCATAGTCTTCTTGCTCTCATGCAAGCCACTCCCATGAACAATACCAGGGGGTTCCTAGACTCTGTGCCTAATCTTAACTGACCACTCACTACTCAACCCCCAAAGTTACCCTTTAATGCTTCTTGTGGAGCCTAAGCAAACTAAGCAAGAAACAGTATGGTCTCTTGATAAATAATAACTAGAATTATTTTTCACTTAAGTGTTTATGACCACTGCTAGCTACCACAAAGCAATGGGTGTGTAATAGAAAAGCTACTATTAGAGGGTGCAGATGTAGTTTAATAGTAGAACTTGTGCTTAGCAGGTGTAAGGCCTGGGGTTCAATTCCTGTCACACATATAGGAAAAGAAAGCTAACATTATTTTGGACTGAGGCCCAAGATTTCTTTATCAAATAGCAGAGACAAAATTTAATCCCAAATTTAGGCAAACTGATTCCCAGTCAATAGACTAAGTGGCTATGACCTTCACCCCTCTAGGGATGGTCACTGGTGACTTTTATTTCTATCATAATAGAAATGTGGGCATAACCGTAGTGGGAAGCACCAAGGAAGAACACTTGCAGGTGTCCACAACAAAAAAAAATCCCTCTGGGGCAACCATTAGCCCCTACCCCAAGCAAAGCCCGATCCCGGGCACTGAAGACACCACCTTGCCAGTTACCACAGTCCGGTGCTCCCAACAGATGGGGAGGGTTGAGTAGCAAGGATGAGGCTAGGCCTCCGCAAACACTGAATAATGGTGCCTGAGTCTGAGAACCTTGGAATGAGCTATTTCAGCTTGGTTAGCTTTTTAGGGCATTGCAAAGAAATTAGATGTAGAGGGGGCAGGTGCAGTGGGGAGCAGCCGCCGGGCCTGGAAGGCTGCCACACCACCTGCGATGGGAGAGAGCCGAGGCGGAAGCTCATTAACCATCCCTGGATCATTACCCTCTGCTCCCCAGGGGCACAATCACTGAGCGTGGACTTTCAGTTCTAGAGGTCTCTCTTCAAGGGTCCCTATGGACTGGAAGCAGAGCTCTCTGCCCAAGAAGGGATGGAACGAGCCAATCTTCCAGAGAGAGCCATCTGTAATTACTGTTTGGCAGTATAACAAAGCCTGGTGTTTCCTGAAAATAACGTCTGCCCAGCTGGGGAAACTGAGGCTGGGGCTCAGAGAGGTAAATTAATTTTCCTAGGCCATACAGTTTAAAAGTGGCAAAGGCAGAGATCCAAGAAATCTTTCTGGGTCCCCACACCATAGTCTCAACTGTTACAGTGCCGGGAGTCTTACAGAACACATTACAATAGCTCTTGTAGCCAATGGGGACACCAGGAATGGGCAGAACTGCCCTCCACTGTAGGCAGAGACAAGAAGGTGAGTGGTCTGGGAAAGATGGTCAGAGTGTAGGGCTCACTGCAGGAGGCATTAGTGAGCCTTGTTCGGTAAGTAAATCCATTCACCTTTATTCGTGGAGTGTCTCTATTTGCCAGGCCCTGGAGGTGAGGAGTTGAATGAGAGTAACTGAGTCCCAGCTCTTGTGTAGAAGGCAGGAGACAGAGTTAATAACCTCACAGGGTGCTGGGAAGGAAACAGACAAGCAAGATGACACACCCTGGGAAGGTCCTGCAGGTAGGTGATAATTGTCTGGAGGCTGTATGGAGAGTGGTAAGTTACCCCAGGAAAGATCCAGGGAACTGGGCATCAAGACAGGGAACAGACAGAGGCCCCCAAAAAGAACAAACTGGATAATTTGAGATCTGGACAGAAACCAAGGAGTCTAAAGCTCACAAAGATGGGGGAGCTCAATGAGGAACTTCCAGTGGGTGGGAAGTCCCTTTGTCTTGTCACTGCCCCACCCCAAGGCCAGATGTCCCTTCTCTGTCTCCCCGCCAGTCTCCCTCTCACCCCAGGGCTTGAACCCAGAGCCCTGTGAGTCAAGTGCTCTACCGCTGAGCTACATCCCATTCTGTGTTTTACTTTCTCTTTGGAGTCAGAGTCCCTGACTTGCCCAGGCTTTGAACTCACTGTAGGACAGGAAGTGCTTGAACTTCCAGCCTCAGTCTCCTGAATGGCTGGGGTTTAGGCCTGAGCCAGCAGGCCTGACAGAAGTTCTAAGTTTCTTTACCAGCTTGCTAAGCAGTCTCTGAACTTCAGATGCCCTGCATAGGTCTGGACACAACTGACACTTAACTAACCAATCTTTTCTGCTTACCCCTCAATGGCAATGTGGCAATGCGGCAACTGTTGGTAGAGTTTGGGTGCCAGCCCCTCTGGCCACCCAGAGTCAAAAAGTTACACTTAGCTTCCAATGAGATGACAGTGACAGTCTAGCTAGGCTTGGCTCTGGATAGGAGGCTGTTGGTGTCTTCTACTTGCCTTCAGATCCAGAAATCTGCAGAATTCTAGGCCCTCTTCTGCCTACACCATTAGTTCTCAACCTATGGGTTGGCACCCTTTTGCAAACCTCTATTTCCAAACATAATTACATTATGATTCACAACAGTAGCAATATTACAGTTTTGACTTCTCTCTGAGCCCTGTGGCTCACTTACACACCTCTCTTAACAGCTGTGCTCCAGGAGCCCTTCCCTGGTCACTCTACCTTAAGCTCCAGCAGTTTCTGCTGCCCCCTGCTTTACCTTTCTGCAGGGTGCTCATTCCATCTCACGGTTCCATTCTGTTCACACATTTACCTTGCTCACATTGACCTTGCCAGCTGTCTGCCTCTGTGTCATGAGAACATACGCTCCACAAGTAATGGTACTTGTTGCAAAAACAAATGAAAAACGAATGAATGAGCAGTATCAGAACAACATAACTTCTCTTGGGACAAGAGCTAAGTCACAATGTGTTCCTCCCCCAATAAATCTTTTCATTTCAATAATCATATCCAACATTTGCTGGCTAGCATTTCCTAGAAGAAAGCCATTTCAAGGAGTACACTAGTTTTAAGTTTTTGCCTTGCTATCATTTTTAATTCCTGTTGGCAGGTCTGGAGACATGCTGGTCTTTCAGAGTTCACAGCCTTAAACACTGCTGTAGGCTTCAACTATGGAACAGAGCTATCTAGCGAAAACCTCAATGTCCATCACCTACATATTTGTAACTTTCCTTTGAAAAGACTGAGTTTAAATTAAATATCAGTCTTTAGTGTGGAAAGACTACAGTGTAGAAGCCTGGGCTAGAGCCACAGATCCCACAGTGGAAAGCACTGGGCTCCATGTTATAAGGCTCAATTGATTTAAAGTTGGTTTCCATGTGGACACGAGGCTTCAGCTGAGGGGCTCAAGGGCCACATGCATAGTATCTATCAAATGTTCTCAGCAGGGGATTAACATCCTAAAAGGATATGTATGAGAAGATGGGCAACACCCCACACAAGCAACTTGCTGCCTGTTCCTTCACTCCCTGGTGACACTCTGCCTCTCTACCCCCTCCACTCAGTGACAGCTACTCAGAACGTTTAGCAGGAGACTAAAAGCCCAGGACGTTTAGGATATACATTATCCTGTAGCCTCCTTTTCCTCACAAGGATTGGTTCAGAACTGAGCACATGACCTGCTCTTGATCCATCAACAGAAAACATCCCACTAGGCAGTGACTAGGAGCCCTCAGAAGTCCCAAATCAAATCTCATTGAACTGGCTTGTGTACGGAGTCTGTGACTAAATTAGTCACTGTGGCCAGGAGCATATGGGTCCTGTTTGGACAGACTTGATCTATGCCCTCCTCCAGAGTCAGTGGTCCCACTTGGCTTCCAGCTGTCCTAGACTGAGTGTGAGTGGCAGAATGGGCTAGTAATCTTATGTAGAGTACTCCCATTTAACACACTAGACTGTGCCACTGGAGTCACTCAAGAAGCCCGAGCTCCAGAGGTCAAGGTCATTGAGTTTTCTCTCAGATGGTGGAACACCGATTAACGTGTGAGTTTAGGCAAGAGCCTTTCCTTCTCCCCTCCTCTCCCTCTACTCCCCCAACCACTGATATTCAAAAGAACCTTTTCATGCATGCTTTAGAAGTAACAGAGTTCTGGCTGGAGAGATGGCTCAACGATTAAGAGCACTGACTGTTCTTCCAAAGGTCCTGAGTTCAATTCCCGGCAACCACATGGTGGCTCACCTTGAATGAGCTCTGATGCCCTCTTATGGCATGCAGGCAAAAGATTACATAATAAATACATAAAAAAAGAAGTAACAGTGTTCATGGACTTATTCCTCCAAGTGATAAAACTCTCCATAAATACACTACAATGTGATAACCAAGAACTGGACATTAGCACAATTCTCCATTCTTTGGAGGCTGCACAGTTTACAGGTTTGGGTGTGTTCTGTGCATGCAAGTCTACAACATACATTGATTTGTGTGACCATCAGTATAGTCAATATCTATTACCAGAGCCCAGTGATGCCCTTTGCACTCACAGGCACCTGCTTCCTCCTGAGCTCTCCTCTCAGTGACCACCATTCTATCCTCCATTTCTGACATGTCAAGAATGTTGTATAAGAATAATGCACCATGAAGCCTCCCTTGATTGACACGTTTTTTGTTTGTTTGTTTTTGTTTTTTGGTTTTTTTTTTTTGCACTCAGCATAACTTCCTTTGGACCTCAGCCTAGTGGCTAAATATATTGACACCTTGTTCCTTGTTTGTTTATTACTGTCTGGGAATTCACAGTACTAATGACAGTATGGATGGTCCACAGTCTGTTTAACTATTTGCCTATGAAGATCATTTGGATTTTTTCCAATTATGAGCTTTATAAATGAAACTGCTATGAACATTCCTGCACAGGCTTTTGTGTGAGCATCCGTTTACACCTCTCTGAGAAAAAAATGGGACACTTGTGAGTTTGTAGGAAATTCTCATCTTTTTTGAGAGCACGTCATCCTATTTTGCCACCAGCAATGACCAAGGTTCCTTGGCCATCCACACCCTCAACAGCATTTAGTGTTATCACTGTATTGTTGGGGTTCTTTTTTGTTTTTTTGAGACAGGGTTTCTCTGTATTGTTTTGGAGGCTGTCCTGGAACTTTTTCTGTAGACCAAGCTAGCCTCAAACTCACAGAGATCTGCCTGCCTCTGCCTCCCTAGTGCTGGGACTAAAAGCATATGCCACCAACACCCAGCTCCACTATATTGTATTTTGACCATAACAATGGATATGTAGTATCATCTCACTGAGAAATAATTTGCATCTACCAATGGCTAATGATGCTGAATATATTTTCACAAACTTTTGCAAGGGAATTATTTTGAGATCTTTTTCTCACCTAATGGAGTGTTAATAACTAGGACAATAGTATTTACTATACAGAGGTGATGGGTGAGTTCTAGAGAGTACCCCACTGTATGACTCTCCAGGAAACACTAAGAGCTGGGGAGATGCTCGGTGGTTAAGGTATGACTGTGAAGTCACAAGGACATACATTCAAATCCTCCGAATCCACAGAAGAGCCAGGTGCAGCTGTATATGCCTATAACTGCAGTTCTGGGGAGCGGGGACATAAGGACCCTGGGGCACATGAGCAAGCCAGCCTGTAAGTGAGCATCACATGAGCAAGCCAGCCTATAAGTGAGCATCAGGCTCAGAGGGAGCCAGAGGACCCCGCCTCAAAAAAACAAACAGATGGAAAGAGATTAAGGAAAGATATGCCTCCATATGCACCACACAGACCAGCAGAGGGGGGTGAAGAGGTGTAGACTAGAACTAGTTTGGTCATAATGGGCACAACTATTATCCCAGCATTAACAAGAGGACTGTGAGTAACTAGGGGCTGGGAGGGGGCGTTTCCCGATAAGAAACATTAACTGTTGCTATTCTTGTAGAGAAATGATAAAAAAAAGAAAAAGAAAAGGAATAAAATCTAACAGAACCCCACCCACTCCTGTTGAGAATCATCTCCCTATACCTCACTGTATTCTCACCATACTATAGGAAGAATATCATGACCTAATGTCACAGGATTGCCTCAAGGACCAGACAGGTAAGACTGGGGAGGAATTACCACTGGTTAGTGCTCAGTTCTCTAGCGCCTGGCATTTAGCCTATCAGAGACTACAGTTGATCTTTGTTCCTGTAATAGTTACTTTTCAAAATACCTGACAGAAGCAGCTTATGCAAAGAAGCACTTACTGTGACTCACCACACTTCAGGGGATACAGCTGGCCATGGCGGAAAGGGTGTGGCACTGGGTGGCTGAGTGTATAGTGACAGGAGCTTGCTGAGCAGCTTGTCCATACCTTTGCAAATCAGGAAATAGTGAATTTGGACCAGAAGTGGGTCAGACTGTCACTATTGGCAACCATGCCTCTCACCTCAAAGGTTCCATCCACAGCTTCTCAAAACACTACCAGCTGGGGACCAAGTGTTCAAACACACAAGCTATTTTCATATCCAAACTATAACTTTCCTGCCTTTCCAGACATCATCCTTCAGCCACTGGAGCCTCCGCTGGGACAGAGTGTGGAACCCCAGAGATGACTGTTCCTTCAAGGAGCATTGTTCCATCAGGGTACCCTGCTGTTACCAGAGAAGAAACTAAGGACTTGGCTGTGGAACAGGGTGAGATCGCATTTACTGAGAAGCTTCCAAATGAAAACTAGCATTTGTACTTATTGCATTTCACCTCCAAATTTGATTACATTTCTCTCCCGCTGTAAATCTGCCTTCCTTTCTGCTAGCTTATTATTAAAGCCAGGATGGAATTGGTGGAGTGATACGTAAAATTTCCATCTCAGCTTTGACATTCCAGGAAGTTACGAACCAATTACAGCTGCTGAGCCTAGGGCCTTGATGAATCACAGAGCGCAGCAAGGGATGGAAGAGGCCAGGACCCGGAGGGAGGGAGACAGTGAGTTAAGAAACAAACACCAATTAAATAAGACCACCCGTTTTAATCTGAATATTTTGTTTTATATTCACCGTAAACAGAAATGTGAATGGGCCTTGTTCATTTGTGTTACTGTGGTGTGGTGGTCTTGAAGACAAATGCAGACCTTTAAAATGGTTTCAGAATCTGAAATTCGAAATATTCCAGGAAAGAAACAAACAATATGATGACCTGTTCAAGTGTCATCAGTTCTCAGGTAGATGTCAACAAAAAGCCACTGACACATACTTTGGGGTTTGTGGGTCTAATGATATCAGTTCTAGCTAGCTCTGGGAGCTTGTACCTCTAATGTTGAGCCCTGGTGTCACCTTGGTGGTGGGGGGGGATGCTAAGCTTGGCCAAAGTGTGAGAAACTTTGCCGCACCTCTACTCCTTCATCAGGCAACAAGCGTAACAGCCTGCCTGGGCTGGCTAAAGACTGAATACATGTAATTAAGATGCCAAGCACAGGGCCCAGCTAGGTGTCCAATAGTGTTTGGACAGGGACCCCCAGTTGGATAGATAACCCCAGATAACTAGTTCAAATTAATCATGCCTGCCTTCCTGGAGAGGGCTTGACTTCCAACATAGTCAGTTGAACTTTACTTTCTCTGGTGGGTTTGCTGGTGTTCCTCTCCTCTGAGCAAATGGCCAATGGAATTCAGTACCATGGACAGCAAAGATCCTGCCAACCTGATTACTGTCTTGCGCATTCTGTCCCTGACCACCTGAAACTTTTCAGCTCGTGGTTCAAAGACACCCTGCAAGCTGTAAATTTGATTAGCACCAGACCACAACCCTGCAGCTCTGTCTCTCATCATGGAGGTCCTTTAATTCCAAGTTCTTATTTCATTTCTCCAGGTTGGGGCAGGACTTCCTCTACAAGAAATTTCTAATCTCCTTTGAGATCTACACTGTAGGTGAGATACTGGAATGAGAAGAGGGAGACAAGAGTGCCATGGATGGAGAACTAACATCATTTCTGAGGGCAGCCATGTTGGATGAGGCAAAGAGACAAGTGGGGGAATCCCTAGTGAATTCAATGGCCAGGAAAGTCAGGGCCACAAAGAAGCAACTTGCAATGAGTGAATCAGTGTGGTTCAAGACTGAACCAGGCCCCCTGAACATAAATGTCAGTTGGGGGGCTTAGGAAGTCTATGGGGCCTCTGGCAGTGGAACCAGTATTTATGCCTAGTTCATGAATGGGCTTTCGGAGCCCCTTCCCTATGGAGGGATACTCTCTCAGCATAGATATACAGGGGAAGACCTAGGTCTTACCCCAAATGATGTGGCAGACTTTGATGTTCTCCCATGGGAGGCCTCACCCTCCCTGAGGAGTGGATATGGGTGGGGTAGGGGGATGGTAGGGAGAATGGGAGGACTGGAGGAAGAGGGAACTGGGATTGGTATGTAAAATAGATTGTTTTTAATCTAAATAAAAACTAATTTAAAGAAAGGAAGACTACCATGAGCAGTGAGTGGACATAGCACATCCTTCCTGGAACAAGAGACATTCAGTAGAAAGTAGGTCATTTCAAAGGATCTGAGCCAACCAACCAACATGCTCATCTAGGAAGCAAGGGCAACAAACAGAACAAGGCTTGGAATAGTGGGCGAGGAAGAGTATGGCAAAAAGGTAAACATTTGTTTACCTTTCCTCTCCTTCCATCAATCTCACCTAGGATATGGGGAGTAGAATAGCAAAGGTAGTTGTGATTATGAGCAACGAGGGGTTCCCCAAGAGAAAGGAAATCCTCCAGGTGTTCTCTCACTCCATTCTTATGCTTCTTACACTATAACAATGGCTGGGAGGACGGAACAAAACTATGTACACCTAGGGGAGAGATCGCTAATGAGTCACAGGATGTATCTGGGAGAGTCTCAAAAGAGATGTTAGTCGGGGGGTCTTGGGTCTTGGCCTTCAATCCAAAAGAGGCAGAAGCAATAGCCAGGCTCTGCTTGGCAACAGTCAACACCTGATAATTCATTTGCAACATTTGACTCCTAGGAACACCTGCTCCTCTGGTCCCTGTGCACCTGATGTTGTCCTTGAAACCACAATACCAGCTTTCTAGGGAGGAGACAGCAACCAAAGCAGCTGGCAGAAGTCCCAACGGACTCCCCTCCCCCTCCCAGCTTGTTATCCTGCTGGAGAGGGTCAATGCTTCCTCCTTCCCTCCACACCTGAGTTTCTATGTGGCCTGTGTTCTCAGTGATCAGATTGGGGCTTCAGGCCAGAGGAAGGAATTGCTGCTTAAATTTCTGATTCTTTACACTATTGCTTCTAAATTTAGACTAAGTCATACTGCAAAAGGCTTCCTAGTTGTTCCTATATCTCTGTTTCTCAAAACATGGCCTGGGAGAAGCAGCCTCTGGGATCTTCCTTGAAATGCCAGCTCTAAAGCTCCAACCCTATCCTACTGAAACTGAGCTGGAGTTAGGGCCAGTCTCTAAATGAATCCTTGGGGACTAAAGCTGCATGAAAAAGCCATATCTGTGTGAAAGATTCTCCTGGATGACCAACTGATTGAACTTAGTGGGTATGAAGACTGGGGAGACTGCTTATCATGCAAGCATGAGGACCTGAGTTCCCTACCCAGAACCCATATAAAAGTCAGATGTGATGGTGTGCATTCATAATCCTGGAGTCAGGAATATCCCTGGAGCTCACTGCCAACCAGCCTAGTCTAATTGATGAGCCCCAATGTCTAATGAGAGTCTCTCACAAAAACATAATAAAAATAAAGTGGATAACTCCCGAGGACTGAAACCAAGACTGACCTCTGGCGCCTACACCTACACATGCACATAAGAAAGAACTTAGTAATTATGGAAAGTCTGGATGTTGCAGATCAAGAGACAAAATTCTCTTGGACTGTCTTTAACTCTCTGAAATGTCACTTATCACCCACATTTTCTCAGAAAGTTTTGAAAATTTCATACAATGTATTTTGATCATAGTCACCCCTCCCAAAACTCCCCCCAAAATGTACCCATCCCTTCCTCTAACAACCCAACTCTATGTCCTCTTTTTCTTATATTTAAGGCTCAACAATTTCAACTTGTGCTGCCTACATATTGTCAGATATGTGCCCATCCACTGGAGTGTGGTTGACCTACCAATGGCCATTAAAGAAAACAGACTCACTCACTCCCAGCAACTATCAAATACCAATAGATCCTCAGGCAGGGGTGGAACACTATGCTGGAGCTTTCTCAAGTGTTATACATACTTCCACAACCACTGTGAGTTCATATATGCAATGGCACTGTCATGTCTCGAAAAGAGTGTTTATCTCCTTATAGTCATCCATAGACTCTGGCTCTTACATTCTTCAGAAATGATCCCTAAATCTTGGGGGGAAGTGGTTGGTAATACAAATGTCCCCATCTTGAAAGGAGAGGGTAGAGGTGATACAAGTGTCCCACTTAAGGCTGAGCACTCCACAGTCTCTTATTCTATGTACATTTTGCCAACTGTAACTCTCTGTGTTGATCACTCTACTGTAAAAAGGAACTTCCCTGATGAGGGTACAGAGATGGGTAGAATGATAAGTAGTCAGGATTTGGCTTAGTACTATGCCCATTATTAGTCAGGGTTCTCTAAATGCACAGAACTGATAGAATGGATATGTAGAGATGCGTGGGGATTTTTTTATTGGGTTACAGGATGTGGTCCAGCAATGGCAATCTCACATTAGAAAAGCCACCAAGAATCCAGTTGTTGTTAGTCTATGAGACCGGATGTCTCAACAGTCCCCATCTGATGCTGGAGGCAGGTCTTGAGGACTGTTAAACAGCTGCTAATGTTCCATCTATATTGGAATCGTGAGAAAGCTGGTTCTAGTATTGGTGAAGGAAAACTGAAAAATAGGGTACATGAACTTTCCAGGAAGATTAATGACAAGTAGGCACAAAGGAAATAGTCCTTCTTCCATGTCCTTTTATCTGGGCTCCACCAGAAGGTGTGATTAAAATTGAGGATGGGTCCTCCTACTTCATATTATCCAATCAAACTACAGGAGTTCCCAGTACTTGGATTTTAGTTAATTCCAGATGCAGGTAATTTTACAACCAAGATTACCCATCACAGTCCATTTTGCAGAATAATTGTGACAGGTTCTTCACTAGGACTTATGAGATGTTCAGCTACATGTTTTGGGCCCTGATAACAGTTCTAGGCATGAGTTCCATCTTGGGGGTCTTATATTCAATCAGAAAGTGATTGGTCACTCCTGTAACATACATGCCACTATTGCACTAGTGAACAAATCTTACCATACAAGTCATTGCTGTTGCTCATGGAGCTCACAGTTGAGAATGGTTGAAGATTGCTTTTCTCCACTAGTAGCATGCATAACCCCTTCTAGCACTATGAAAGCTGATTAATAGGGATGAAGTTTCCAGGTTGGTACAATCTTGAAGCTTGATTTCTCCATATTCTATCTCTCAAGTATGGCCTTCAGCCATAGGGTCTTCTACACACACACACACACACACACACACACACACACACACACACACACACACAAGGACAAATCCACTTAAACTTCTTGTAATGGCTACTCTTGGTTGTCAAATTGACTATATCTGGAATTAGCTAAAACCCAAGGCACTTGGAACGCCTGTAAAGGGTTTTTCTTGACCAAAGCATTTGAGATGGGAAGATTCACCTCAAATCTGTGCACACCTTCTGGTGGCAGCTTATATAAAGGGCATGGAGGAAGGTAGTACTTGCTCTTTGCCTGTTTGCCCTCACTCTCACAGGCAAGTTTATTGCTTCACTGGTATTAGAGTCTACTTCTTCGGGATTCCAGTATATACTGGAAACTGGTGGATACATCCAGCCTTGCTGTTGTTAGAATAGTCGAACCATAACTTGTAAGCTACTCTAATAAATCCTGTTTCTGTATATGAAGAAGTTCATCCTTCAGTTCTGTTTCTCTAAAGAACCCTAACTAATATACTTCTATAGTAGTAGATTTCCATAAGACTTTTTTGAAAAATCTTTATTTATAATTGGATTTTTCTTTGGGCCACCAGCTCACAAAAAATTAAATGGAGACTTATTATTAATTATAAAAGCTCAGACATAGCTTAGACTTGTTCTTAACTAGCTCTTATAACTTAAATTAACCCATATTTTTAATCTACATTCTTTTATGTGGCTCAGTTACTTTTACTCTGTACTGCCCATCCTGCTTCCTCTCCATCTGGCTAGTGACTCTGCCTTCCTTCCTCCCAGAACTATCTGTCCCTAGAAGTCCTGTCTAACCTCTTCCTGCCTAGTTAATGGCCATTTAGCTCTTTATTAATCCAGTCACAGTGACACATCTTCACACAGCATAAAGGAATACTCCTCAACATTGCTCCCTTTTGTCTAAACAAAAAGGAAAGATTTTAACTCTAACATAATAAAACTGTAAACAATAAGAACAATTATCAGGTAAGAATTACATTTACAATGCCCAATCCATTTGTATTTGACAAATTTACAGAAAATACTCCATTATCTACCCTATCTTAGTCCAAAGTTCTATATCTAAACCATTTTCGTCTTAATTTGTATTTCCACCCTAAAACCTTAAAACATCTTTTCAGATAAACAACTTAAGCTTTTATATTTCCCAAACTAATAAACTTTACATCCCTCATGTAAGTTTCTTTTCTGGATTTGGTAACAAGGAAAACTAGCTCAGTCAGTAGAGCATGAGACTCTTAATCTCAGGTTCATGGGTTCAAGGCCCACATTGGGTGCCATGTGTAGGTGGAGTTTTCTTTTGGGCTGGCAGCTCACAGAAAAAATAAACACAGAGACTTATTATTAATTACCTAAGGTCAGCCTTACCTTAGGCTTGTTTCTAACTAGCTCTTAAAAATTAACCCAATTTTTTAAATCTCTGCTTTCATGTACTCATTACCTCATCTCCATTTTGCCCATCCTCCACATCTGGCTGGTGACTCCACCTTTCTTCTCAGAGCTCTCTCTGTGCGAAAGTCCTGCCTGTACCTCCTGCCTAGCTATTGGCTGTTTAGCTTTTTATTAAACCGATCACAGTGGCATATCTTTACACAGTGTAATCAAATATCTCACAACATTTATTGTTAGTTATATCTACCTTTATTCCTTCCTCTGTCCTGCCCTCCAATCTTCTAACTTAACCCTTCCTTTCCCGTTATTGGCCATTATCTTTTTTTTCATTATCTCTTTTTTAATTAACATAATTTTATTGATTCTTTAGGAATTTCATATCATGAACCCCAATCCCACTCTTCCCCAGTCCCTCCATATCTACCCTTCACCCTTGTAGTTTCCCCCAGAAAGGAAAACTAGAAAAGACATGATAAAAATAAAAAGTAAATTTAAAAAACTGCAAGCAAGAATATTAATTTAAAAACAAACAAATAAGCAAAAACACAAAACAAACCAAAAGAAGCAAACAAATAAACAAACCAAAAAAACCCACTTTGCATCCGGGCGGTGGTGGCGCTTGTCTTTAATCCCAGCACTTGAGAGGCAGAGGCAGGTGGATCTCTGAGTTTGAGACCAGCCTACAAGAGCTATTTTCAGGCCAGCCTCCAAAGCCACAGAGAAACCTTGCCTCAGGAAAAAGCAAGCAAACAAACAAAAACCCACTTTGTTCCCCTGTCTTTCCCACCTCTCCATCAGCACTTCACTCATCTTGCTATCATTGGGAGCTGCTGTGTATCGATCGTATGGTACCCTTTTGTCCACATAGGTTTACATGAAAATGCTCACTGTCAGTTACCCAAAGTTATGGAGATCCTGTGGCTATGGTTCCACAGGACCAGTCCCTTCACACATTCTAGGACACCACAGATGGGGTAGAAGTTGGGGAGTACCCACTCAAACCCTGGATGTGCGACTGAGTGGTATCTGGATTGTTCTAACTGGGCTCCTGGGACCATCCTCTCAGGAGAGGGGTGGAGCCAGTTCTCTCACACTTCTGGTGAAAGACTGGGCCCAGCTTACCCAAGTGGGGGCAGCTCTCCTATTAGGGGCAGGGCTAGCTTTCCCATCACAGGATCACTGGGGTCCATTATCCCAGGGCCCATGGTGAGGAGGGGGCAGCTCTCCCAAGGCCAATGAGGGGTAGGACAGCTCAGTGAGGCTCTCATATTTTAATACATGGTTCAACACAGGGTTTGAATGGGCCCCTGGGATAACACAGACAATGAACACCATCTCAGGCCCCAGCTGTGGCAGGACCACACACCCAGACATGGCCCTTGGCAACAGCCCAGGATCACACATCACAATGGCCCCATGTAGTTAGTAGGCATCCCAAATCAGCCAGTTCCTCACTACCTTCACCTCCTCAGATCTGCCTCTCTCCACAAGACATGAACCACTCTGCTCCTATCTATCTATCTATCTATCTATCTATCTATCTATCTATCTATCTATCTATCTCTCCTTCCCATGCCCCGCCATATATTTGATCACCATAATGGTGCCTGAATGCCCAGCATCCGTTTGTAAGGCAAATGGCTCCAGGCATGTGTCTCCATTTCTGCCTGCTTGGTTCTCATGGTGCTGAGCAGGCTCTTGGTTTGTTC